AGTAGAGACGGGGTTTCACCGTGTTGACCAGGATGGTCTTGATCTCTTGACCTCGTGATCCACCCGCCTCGGCCTCCCAAAGTGCTGGGATTACAGGCGTGAGCCACTGCGCCCGGCCTGGAATAATTTTAATGTGAATAAGAAATTTCCTTGCATGAGAGCATTTGGGAGGAAGGGAAGTGCAAAGAGCTGGACTAATTCTTCAGTGAGGGAAGAGGCAGCTGGGGGCTGGCCAGGGCCGTGGGGGAGACGTGGTAGGAACAGCCCATCCCACAGCTCGGGCGCAAGGAGCAGGGGACTGAGCGGGCAGAAGAAAGGCGGGAATTAGCAGCGGGGATGTGTAGAGGGAAATAAAGAAACAAAAGCAAGGGGGAGCAGGGCTTCCCTGCAGGAAGGAGGCAGAGGCATTTAGTGGGGAAGCTGGGCCTTTGATCACCGAGAGCGTGGATCCTCTGAAGCCCTTGGGGATGAGGGTTCAGGCGATGACGTATGCCTGGGACATGCGATGGGGACACAGTGGCACACAGGGCTTCTGGAGGAGCAGGGCAGGCCGCCGAGTGCTGGTTCCGGTGTCAGGAAGGGGTGTCTGGAGCAGCCAGGTGCCCAGGCTGCCCTCACTGCCTCTCATTCAGGGAGCCGCGGTGTAGACGGATCTCCACCTCCAGGTCATGCCCCAAAGGGTGGCACTCTGAGACAGCAGGCAAGACAGAGGGGACCCGTGAACGGAGGGTCAGCAGAGGAAAGGTTGCCTCTGAGGAAGCAGGACGAGGACTGGGACAAAGCAGAGAGAACTGCTTCCCGCAGATGTGGGCGTTTGGGGAGACCTTTGTCTCAGCATCGGGGCTGCTGGGATCCTTTCTGGGGCTTTCCAGGTGTGCTGGCTGGTGGTCCACGTCCTCCCTTCAGCTCGGCTTCTCAGTCTCCGTCTCTGTGTCTCTCTGACTCTGACTCTGTCTCTATGTCTCTCTGTTTTTCTCTCTCTCTGTCTGTCTCTCTTTCTTTCCCTGTCTCTGTCTCTCTGCATCTCTCTCTCATTGTGTGTGCCCCGCACACCGGCCCCACTCTGGCCTCCCTGGACCTTCTGCCAGGATCCCGCTGGCAGCCCCAGGCTGCATGTGCCCTGCTCTCTTAGGGACAAGACACAGAGACCATGAAGGTACTCCTGGAGATGGAGGGGGACGCCCCAGTGTGGGAGACCAGCCTTGGGGTTCCCGACCTGCAAGGGAGGCACCCCAAGCTCCAGACACGTGACTTCTTTCCACAGTGAGCCCGAAGCTGGACCCGGACACCGCGAGCCCCAAGCTCAGCCTGTCCGAGGATGGGAGAAGCGTGTGGCGGCTGCTGTTCCCGCAGGACCTGCCCCCTGGCCCCGAGAGGTTCGAGCCGGAGCCCTGCGTCCTGGGCCGGGAGCGCTTCTGGACGGGGAGACACCGCTGGGAGGTGGAGGTGGGCGGCAGGCAGGCCTGGGTGCTCGGCGTGTGTGTGGAGGGCTTGCCGAGGAAGGGCAGGGTCCCCAAGGCTCCGCGGCACGGAGTCTGGGCGCTGGAGCTGTACCGGGGGCGCTGCCGGGCCCTGTCCTTCCCCAGGACACGCCTCCAGCTGGCCCAGCCCCTCCGGCGGGTGGCCGTCACCCTGGACTGCCACGCCAGCAGCATCTCCTTCCACAGTGGGGCGGACGGCTCCCTGCTCTACACATTCTCTGGACTTGCCCCTGGGCCCCTGCGGCCATTCTTCTGCCTCTGGACCCACGACTCCTGTCCCCTGATCATCTGCCCGGTGGGCCGAGAGACCCGGAAAGATTCCGCCGACTCCGGAGACCTCTGGCTTTCCCCGGGAAACTCCAGTGGGGGAGACACCACGTCCCCCATAGACAAGGACACTCCCCGGGCGAGGCTCACATTCTCACCCAGCCCTGTCCAGCTCCGGGAGGAACGTCCAGCCCCTAAATCTCAGCAGGACTGTGTCTGAGGGCGTGGCTCAGGGCCGCAATCCCCCGTCCCAGCTCCATCCTTCTCCTGTAAAATGATGGCACTATGGTAAGCACTGAATCACGCCCCTTCCTAGGTTGACGTCCTAACCCCTTGACCTCCGAATGTGGCTGTTTGGAGATAAAGCCTTTAGAGAAGGAAGTGAGGTCAAAGAGGTCATGATGTGGGCCCCAATCCCATAGGGCTGGTGTCTCCATAGAAGGGAGGTCAAGTCACAGGCACAGAGGCATGGCCCTGAGAGGGTCTGAGAAGCCCAGGAGAGAGGCTGAGGAGGAAATGGCCCTGCCAACCGACGCCTTGGCTCGGCCACCGGCCTCCAGGACTGGAGACGGTCCGTGTCCGCCTTTAGGCCAGGCCTGTGGTCCTTTGTTACAGAGGCCCAGGCAGATTAATAATAAAGAGTAGTCAGTACACCCCTGGGCTCCTCTGTGACAGGCAGAACTTGGGGCACGTGCAGAACCAGCAGCCCAGGGCCCTCATGCTGCTCCATAAACAGCAGCCCTCCTCCTCCTCCTCCTCCTCCTTTCTCTCCCTCCTCCTCCTCCTCCTTTCTCTCCCTCCTCCTCCTCCTCCT